AGTCGAGTGTCATGCGCTAGAGACATCGAGTGTGATGCTAGAGACAAAGAAGTTTGAGGTAGGGGGGGAGGGGGAAGGGGGCGCGCCACATCATGTCTGTCTGTTCGTCTGCTTTCTCTTACCGGAAACGAAACTGGCGTACCTATCGAAATGGTGATCGACGCCGAACGCTCTATTTTCTATTTTTTTCCCAATACGTTGTTGTAAGGAAACAAATAATGGTAGTGAGTATCAATAATACAAATGACTTTTCCACAGATAATAGGCAAACATGGTCCGATGGCTAAGCGTCTCTGTAACAAAGACCCATTTACGGCGACTCATCTACCAACTTTGGTTCGAATGTTCCCGAATGCCAAGCACATTTTGATGATCCGCGACGCTCGTGCAACGATACATTCAATGATTGACCGACATGTGCCGGTGGTGGGATTCAACCGCAGCAATCCTGAGGTTTGTCTTATTTATATTTCGAGTTTACGTCAACAGCGGGTACAGTATCTCAAACTGCGCGTAGAATGAAGGGCTTCCGTTCGGTGAGTGCACACAACAACCCCATTGCTCGCCTGCGCACTACTCTATCCATCCAAGGCTGTGGTTGAAGAGCGAAACTTCCCTTTTCCTAGGCTCACTTTGTAACTTCCCTTCCTTCCCCCCCCCACCCACTTGCGCGCGCTTGCACAACCTCATCGCAATAGAACACCACTCCTTTTCGGATGTGGAACCAAATAACACGCGCCTTCGCTTACGTGAAGCTGCAGGTCCCCACTCGGGCCCTCATCCCCACTGAAACATCTGGTCAAGCACACAAAAGAATGGTTCATTACTAGTATCGGAATGTTTTTCAGCTTTTAAGGAGACAGTCAGAGCAGCGCAGTGAGTTGATTCTGACCATTCATGACTTTTATGGAAGAAGCCTCAGGAACTGCGCTCTAAAGGACAAGAGGATGAAGCTTTCGCCGTTGATCAGTTCCTTTTTGAAAGACGTCACGCATTCTACTTCCACTCGGGACCGTAGAAGTTTACTGAATGCGATGCGGCCTATAAAGTGACTTCCAGGTGGCAGAAAAGGTGCAAGCCAGCGTTCTTCCTCCTCCTCGACGAATCTGGTACAGTCCCTGGAGGGAGAAGGCGTGCAGGCCTTGGCGGGAACCGATCCGGGGTTCTACTTCACCTCTTATTTTACTGGAGAGGAGTTGTAGTAGAGAGTGATGTTCCGAGGATAAAGAGTCGTACTTTGCGGAAACTCTTCCCAGCGCCAAGACACGCCTAGATCACAATTCCGCTTCTCTTTTTGTCCAGCCGAAATTAATTTTCCCAAATGTTCGACCAGTTTCCGGTCAGTACAATGCATGAAGTCGATGAACCCCTCACGTTCCGTTTCGGCGGTCAATTGTGCGCTCGCAAGTCTAAACTGTAATCGGAGTGTTTGCTACCTCGAAAGGATTGACCAGCTCCGATCCCACCACTCTTTTGGATATTGAAACGGAAAATATCTGCAGTTCGTTTTCCTAAAGCTGTTTTACTATGATAACTGCTGTTTAACGATGCAGTGCGTGGTGCGAATATTATCACAAGGAGGCTGTGTTATGGGCAAAAGTTGGACCTCGGAAGGGACTCGACTCCGCATCTCCCGCTTACCGGCCGGTTGCATATCCATCACCCTACCGGGGTCGCTTTATCCTTTCAACTCAATGGCTTTGGTACAAAAAAAACATTGAGCTGGGAGGGTAAGGGGCCTCGATAGCGTAGTGGATAACGGAACCGCCCGTAAGCGGAGATGCGGGTTCGAATCTCGTCCGGGGTCTGACTTTTGCCTACAGCTCAGCACTCTTGTGATTTGCAGCTTTAAGCGTTTGTGAGCAGTGAGCAAACCAAATTATTCAAGCAAATATGCATGGACTAAAAATCTACCGCGCAGGTTGACGGGGAACAATTTTGACTAGAAAATGCCCGGATGGTTCATAATTTCCCACCACTGCTCAAAAAGGTATGTAAAAAATGGACTGCTGTCGCGCCAAGTCCTTTCTCCGATGACACGACTGTCTTCATTGGTAACTACTACATAAAGATACTGCATAGTAAATGTATTTCCTATTCAAAAATACTCCGCGTGGGCCTATGGGATAGGCTTTTGGTCTATGCATATTTGCTTGTATAATTATGTTTGTTCAACTGCTCACGAACGATGCAAGCTGTAAACGTTTTTCGGTTTGATGCCGAAAAGGGGTATAAGAGCTCGGATATGATTAGTCCCTTAGGGGCTGCAAATAGTCCAATTACAATTCAGAATCGCTTAGAATTGTGAATGCACAACAGGCGACTGTAACGGAATATCAGGGATAAATCGGCTTCATACATAGCACTGACAATCTCAGATCGAAATATCGCATCTGGGGGTTTTTCCACCGAAGGGGTCCATTAGTCTTAAAGAAGCGAAAAATTAAATTTAACCGTTCCTGGGTGACTGTTTACCTCTCCACTTTCCTAATAGGGTTAAGTTAAACCTTTAGGTTGAAGATGGACGTAGTTGGGACGAGGGCGGAGGAGATCTGAACTGAAGACCAATTTTCATTATCGGACCCTGGATATGGCCTACAAACATCAGCCCTGCACATGGAGGGGCGTGTGAACGTGGACTGGACCGCAGCCAAGGCAGCTCTTTCCACCAATTGTTGCCGCCTCAGGATGGCTTCGTTGGTAGTGAAGGCCGCCTTGGCTGTTCTCTAATCCGCGCCTCCTCGGATGGCCTCTGGCTTAGGCCACCACTGTTAAGCAATTCAATAGAACTTACATGAAAATGAACGTACAATTTTACCCGACTATTTGAAGGAGCCGAAACTAGTCTGACCATGAGAGGTCTTTCCAGGTTCTTCAATACTCATGTACTCCATCAGTCGTAGAAGGAACTGGTCCACTGCACTAATGACAGTGCTTCCACTGCATGAAGGGGGACCGAATCCGGGGCGCAGTTCGGCAACGGAGGGGGGGGGGCATTTGCTACTTCCCATCGACGTGTCGACCTATCTAGACAGCCTCTTCTCGAGTTGACAGGTTTTACCATGATGGCTTGACGACTTGCTCCAGCTTCACAAGAGTTCACAGGTTTCGCCAGAGTGAGACTTGTAAACCGGAACTAGGGAAGCAATGATAGTACAAAATGCCCCCCCCCTCTCGCGCCGAACTGCGCCCGAATCCGGGATTAGGTTCCGTTCGTCCAGGCTAAACAAGCCCTCCTCATTTTTCACTTGATACAGACTTCTTGCAAAGATAAGGTATTTTTCACTGCGGATGCTGAGGCGTATCAGGGAGAGGCTGGGTTTGGCGTGGCACCTACCCGTTCACCACCACTTCTTGTTACTTGACCGTTCCAACAACTGGCGGAGGGCTGGCCGGCGCCGCGGCAAGCGCATCCTAACATTGTAAGAACATTCGATCATCTCCAAATCGCACTTAAAGTTGGCTGTTGAAAGCAACTGGTAATCTGGGAGATTATTCGTATCCGATTCTTCTGAAAGCTGCCCACTGCAAGTAACAGCAAAGGCTGAGCGAGGACGCAACTGAGACCAGGGTTCTAGAAAAAAGTTAAATTCGTGGCGCATCCTCAAATAAATTATTCAACAGTGAAGGTTTTCTTTCGTGCATTCTGAGTCCATCAAAAATCCAGTGATTTTCAGAGCATGTTCAAGTCTTGGAATGTCTTGATCAGAGAGATGGTGAATGCCTGCTCCAGTATAAAAGGACTGTGCCTCAAGGTTTGTATAGTGGATACCGTCGCAATCCGGCGGGCGGTGTCAGCAGGCTTGGAATGAGCCCTGGGTACGATTTCTACCAATGATGGTAGTTTCTTCTAGAAAACAACCGGTTTAGTAAGCCAGTGGGCGGGCTCATTTCGTGCCTTCTGAAACCGCTGCTTGGGAACGCCAATTCAAGCAAAGACGGCATCCA